TCTTCTATCACTTGTTTGAATTTCCCTATTGTTTGACATGTTTTTATGTTCTCACTGCAGCTGTTTCCATAGCTGAAGCCCTCTTCCAGAGTTTAGTGTTTGTTCTTACAGCTGGTTTTTTGAACATGTATAGTTCTCTTAGACAGAATTTACTCTCCCTCAATTGGAAAAGCTTTTGGATACTGTTAGGCAATTGATTATTTTTAACTCTGATTATTGACAAGGTCTTCAAATTTCTATATTTTCAGTTTGATGAACAGAGAGTTATTTGGTCCTGTATAGTTGGATTTAGTAATTATTCCTAAGGCCTTTTTTTGAAGAAGAAGTAAGACCAAATTTATTGTTGTATGTGTTCCCCCACACTTCTACACAATACGCCACGTATGGTAGTATGAAGGAACAGTACAAAGTGAACAATGATGATTGATTTTAAAAAAATATTTCAATTTATAAAGAACTGAAATTGATTTACAAAATTTTTAATTAATATAATTTATATGCTTCTTCCAACTTAATTCTTCATCTGTCACTACACCAAGAAATTTTTATTTCAGACACTCTTTTGATTTCTATATAATTTTTCATGAGTTTCATATTAGTGTTAGTTGACCTCTTCCCAAATATTATATATTTGGTTTTATTTAAATGTAATGTTATCTTATTAGCATCAAACAACTCTTTAAAGCAAGATTGAACTAGAATGCAATATTTGACGGACAAATAGAATGTAAACAGACAAAGAGGAACCTAACAACAAAAGCTACAGAGGCCAGACATAGAAACTGAGGACCTGTGACTGACTAGAGAAATGACAACTTGTAATTAAAAAAACACAAAAGTAGCGTTTTTTGATTGGTTTTTAAGGCTGTTGGAGGCCAAATGGGAAATGCCTGTGTTTGGCTAGAGAACTGACAGCCCTTGATTGGTTAGACAAAATAAGAGCCTCATCAATTGAAACCCCTAAATGCAAAGCTTTATATTTCACCCTAGATCTTTGTCTTGAGGATGCTCCAAAGGTTCTTAATAGGGTTGAAGACAGGGGAGGATGGTGGCCACACCATGAGTTTCTTTTCTTTTATGCCCAGAGCAGCCAGTGATACAGAGGTATTCCTTGCAGCATGAGATGATTCATTGTCATGCACAAAGATGATTTTGCAATGAAACGCATGGTTCTTCTTTTTTTTAACCATGGAAGAAAGTGGAGACTCAGAAACTCCCCATACTTTTCAGAGGTCATTTTCACACCTTCAGGGATCCTAAAGGGGTCAACCAGCTCTCTCCCCATGATTCCAGCCCAAAACATGACTCCGCCAACTCCTTGCTGATGTTGCAGCCTTGTTGGGACATGGTGGCTGTACACCAACCATCCACTACTCCATCCATCTGGACCAGTGAACAAGACTGTTTGAAATGTAGTCTGGGGCAGAAGTTGGACAGGATGTCAGTGTCGAGTCCAGGTTTTTTAAGAACTGGGATGATGACAGCATGACACTACTTTAAGGGTGTCAGGGACTGATCCGGAGCAGAAGGAGGAGTTGATGATGGCAGTGATGAGTGGAGAGAGGACAGGAAGGCAGGTGCCTTCTTGGTCTTGGTCTTGAGCAGCTTGGATGGGATGAGGTCCAGAATGCAGGAGGGTGTCTTCATGCCCATCATGAGAGTTGGGAGAGTTGAGCAGGAGAAATGAGAGAGAACTGAGATAAAGGCTGAGCCGTGGAGGTTGTTGAATATGGACTCTATTTTAGATTGAAAAAAATGGTGGTGATGGTGGAGAACATGTGTCTTGGGGTTGCTGGAGCCGGAGTGGATGATGTGTGAGAAGTAGGTTGACCGGGCAGAGGTGAGGGCACCTCTGTACTTTTGGATGTGGTCTCTGTATATTTGAAGATGTACTGTGAGTCTGGTTCTCCTGAAGAGTCGTTCCAGTTGATGCTTCTGTGCTTTCATCTGGTGAAGTGCAGGGGTGTACCATGGGGCAGAGTGCCTTTTAGTTTTGTCAGGGGCAAGTCAGTCCAGACAGGAGGAGAGGGTGTTGTTGTAGTGGGTGACAAGGTCAGAGGGATTGGCAGATGGTGGTGGGGGGTATGTGACTAGGCTGTGGGTGAGAGAAGTAGTGAGAGCTGAGGGAGTAATGTGGTACGTTCAAGTTTGGGGCATCCTATTTCCATTTTGATTACCAGGTGATCAGAGATGTGGAGGTTGTGGCAAGATGGCTGTGATGTCTGGAGACCAGTGGAGCAGACAAAGTCCAGGATGTGGCCACGGTTGTGTGTGGTTAAGTGAATGTGTTGTGTGAAGTTGAAGCAGTGCAGAATGTCCAGGAATTCATTGGCGTGTGTACAGCTGGGATTGTCAATGTCAATGTTGAAGTCACCAAGGAGGAGAACGGACGGAGAGATGGTGAAGAGTGTCGTGATTTTAATGTCCTTTCTGTGGATTTCTGCAGTACCACCATCCCATCATTCTGGGCAGGGTTTGTCTATGTATGTGTATCCTGTAGGTGTTGCTTGGTTGAGTGAAAAGTAGTCCAGTGGTTTGTGCCATGTTTCAGTTAAACAGAGGAAGTCCAGATTATTGTCGAGAATGTATTCATGGAGNGGAGAACATGCAAACTCCACGCAGAAAGATCCCGGCGCTCCCACCGGGACCTTCTTGCTGCGAGGCAACAGTGCTAACCAACTGCGCCACCTTGCGTCATTATGCATGTGATAAAAAGCAATTTCAAAATAAAAGCAATATAGCATTAGTTCATGTATGAGGTAAAAAGAGAAAATATGTTTATGTTGTCATTTCCAATTGACCTTGCACGGGCCGGTCAGAGCCAACCAAAGGGTCGTATGTGGCCCATGGGCCGTACCATGCGTAGGTCTGCTCCAGACCACATGATGGTCATGAGGGCAGGAGGGATGCTGAGGCTAAGGGAGGAAAATGATCTGAGGGTCCGGCTGGGTGTGTTGAAGTGGAGGAGCTCAGTCAGGTACAGAGGGGTGAGGTTATGGAGGGCCTTGAGAGTTAGTAGGATAGTTTTAAAAGACAATGCGGTGTGTGATTGAGAGCCAGTGAAGTGGTTGGAGAAGAGGGGTGATGTGGTGGATAGATGGTGTTGTTGCTCATGCAGCATTCTGAACCAGTTGGAGTTTATGGAGGGACTTGAGGGGAAGACCAAGAGAGAAGAGAGTTGTAACGATCCAGGTGACCAAAGAGTGGACCAGGATGGCGGTTCTGACAAGGGGAGGGTGGGACGGAGGCGGTTGATGTTTTGAAGATGGAAGTATGCAGACTGAGTGACATTATTGATGTGGGCTTGAAATGACACAGTGCCGTTGAGGACAACACCCAGACTCTTGACCTGAGGGGAGGAGATGACAGAGAAGTTGCCGATGGTAATTGTGAAACTCTTAGGNTAAAGTGCTTGTTAAGTGTAGGTCATTACCTTCCATGGTAACAGTCCACTACAATGTGTGCATCAACTTTGCAAACACCAGTAAATCTGTCTTTTGCATTCTCTATGGTATTTACTACTACTGTGAAATGAATTAACATAACTGTGACACTTCACTTCAGGTGAATAAGGTGAACGTAAAGATCAATGTTTACTGTGATAACATTCACTGCCTGTGACCTACATTGAAGCATTGTTGTGGTTAGACTCTGATGTGAAGCAACACCACAGAGAGAAATCCCAGGTGAAATCAGGGAATGAACACAGAGCCCCCAAAAGAAAACAATTAAAGCACTCTTACAATGGCAAGAAGGTTTTGACACCATGTTGCATCAGACAGCAGCTACATACAACAAGCTGAGCTCAGAGATATTGCATGAACTGGACACAGATAAAACTAGAATGCGAAATTTGATTGACAAACAGAACGTCAGCAGACAAAGAGGAAGCTAACAACAAAAGCTACAGAGGCCGGACAGAGAAACTGAGGACCTGTGACTGACAAGAGAAATGACAACTTGTAATTGAAAACAGAAAAGCATCATTTTTTGATTGTTTTTTAAGGCTTTTGGAGGCCAAATGGGAAATGCCTGTGTTTGGCTAGAGAACTGACAGCCCTTGATTGGTTAGACAAAATAAGAGCCTGATTGGCAAAAAAAAAAAAGAGATATTTTGACTATCTTGAGCCTGCTAGAAATCAGATGTAGGAAAGGCGAGCCTGGGATTGGCGAGCAAAAATGAGAGCCTGGAAAATGAAAAGATTTTATTGTGTCGAGGCTCTTGTCTCAAGTCTTTTAGAAAATGAGAACCCTTGGGGCTCTTGGAGGCCAAAGAAGGAAAATTGAAGAAGGTGACTGGCTCAAGATCAGACAGGGCAAAGGCAAGCCTGGGATTGGCGAGAGAAAATGAAAGGTTTTTATTGTGTTGCTGCTCTTCAAGGTCGTCTCGAGGTGTTGGAAATCAGATGGGGAAAATGACAGTGTATGATTGGCAAGAGAAAATTCAAGCCTTAAGTTGCCTTCAGGCCACTGAAGGCAAGAGAGAGACAATCAGAGGTTGTCATAATCTAGAAAATATGGAATCAATAAACAACAACACAACACCAACACGACATCAGCAACAATAGTAACAACATATGACAGGCTTTAATTGTATTGAGGCTGTTCAAGGCCAGAGAGGGAACGTTAGAGCCTGTAGCTAGATAAATGAGAGACTTGAAACACAGACTTTTTGATTGGCCTGATGCTCTCAAAGGTCAGAGAAAGTCTAGTGATATCCTGTTATTTGCAAGAAAGGAAAAAAAAAAAAAACACAGACGTCAATGGGCAAAACCAAATGAAATGCAGCCTGTCAACATGAGGCTGTTGGTGGGAAAAGCGAAAACACAAATCTGTTATTGTTAGAAAAAAAAGAGCAATTGATTGAACAACCAAGTCTCACGGCAATTCGTCACATAGTCACAAAACTTAATCTATTGTTTTGTGTCCTGGAACACGATTTTCCCGACTTTTTCGTGTTTCCCAGCACGAAATTCAAACCAATACATTTGAACTGGAATTATGTGTCGTGTCTGGGACTGATTTTTTTTTTTCCTCTATCAGACAGCGCTGTTTTTGACGTTTTTGTCGTTCTTTTCTTCCGACAGTCAGACATGAACCAGTTTTACTGTTCAATGTTCAAGTTTGGGGGTGGGGGTTCCTATTTCCATTTTGATTACCAGGTGATCAGAGATGTGGAGGTTGTGGCAAGATGGCTGTGATGTCTGGAGACCGGTGGAGCAGAGACAGTCCAGGATGTGGCCATGGTTGTGTGTGGTTAAGTGAATGTGTTGTGTGAAGTTGAAGCAGTGCAGAATGTCCAGGAATTCATTGGCGTGTGTACAGCTGGGATTGTCAATGTCAATGTTGAAGTCACCAAGGAGGAGAACGGACGGAGAGATGGTGAAGAGTGTCGTGATTTTAATGTCCTTTCTGTGGATTTCTGCAGTACCACCATCCCATCATTCTGGGCAGGGTTTGTCTATGTATGTGTATCCTGTAGGTGTTGCTTGGTTGAGTGAAAAGTAGTCCAGTGGTTTGTGCCATGTTTCAGTTAAACAGAGGAAGTCCAGATTATTGTCGAGAATGTATTCATGGAGAATGAGGCTTTTGTTGATGAGAGAGCGGGTGTTGAACCAGGTGCAGATGACGTGCATCTGAGGGTGTGTGTGTGGTCCAGGGTCATGAGTGTAGGTTTACGTGTTGCTGTTTGTTGGCATGATGTAGTCCAGGAGTGTGGTGGGACCAGATGGATGGAATGGACAGCAGAGATGAAGAGTGGTAGACAAACTCATGGCCAGAACGTCTGTGTACAGGGCAGCAGGTGCAGAGTATTCTGGCCTCTTTGAGGGTGTTCAGGCAGTCCAGGGGAAGGTGGTAGTTGAGGGCGCAGAGGTTGGAGGCAGAGTACAGTGGCAGCCTGGTCCAATGGAGAAGAGTGAGTGCAGGGCTAATTCTAGCCAAAGTGGACTGGGGGCTGGTTGGGCAAGAGGGCAGTGGTGAGAAACCCATTAGAACACGGACAATGATCCAGGGTATGACAGGCGAAGCACAGTGCTGCCAGTACCCGGAGTGGAGGAAATAGGGACGAGCACTCTGGAGNTATATATTTAAAAAGTCAGTAAATAGCATTGTTTTTACAAGCTGGTAAGACTGGTAGGAGTATATTTTATGATTAAGCAATGAAAAAGTGAGGTTGTCTTGCAAAAAATGTCATTTTTTCAATCAAATTCCCCAAAACAATGGTAAACAAAATATGAACATTTTTACCATATGTGTTTTATTATGTTAGTGACCATTTTCACCCCAAAACACATGTTGAGTATCACATACTGTTGGATAGAGATTTTTAGCTTTCTAAAGAGGTAACAATGTTGTCTTTTTATCTCCAAATATTAAGCACGATACATCATATTATAATAATGATTGTCACTGAACTGTGATTTTGTTCACCATTAGTTGGTGCCTTGAAATGCCTACATTTGTAGTCTAACCACCTCATTTGGTGTTTTGAGGTTCTTTTTTTCCTTGTTCAATGAGAGAAATCTTGTCCCTCTTGGGCTTTAACGAGTTCATCAAAGTCAGGTTGAATGTCTGAGGTGGAGATGTGAAGCATAGCTGACAGGTGAGCATCAGCGAGAGAGGGTCTGTACCTGGATTTGGTAAACTTCATCACTGAGAATGTTTGTTCACATATGTAGGTCGAGCCAAAGAGAACCAACATCTTATGAGCATGTCTCCTCATGTTTGGCAAGTTCTCGTTTCTTGAGAGAAGAGTAAAAATCCTGAACATCACTGGGTGCATTATCCACAGTGCAGGTAAATGGAGAGGAACTCAAGTGCATTTCATCCTCAGGTGTTCTGAGATCTTCAAATCGCCTTGAAAACTCACCATGCAGTGCTCCTAACATGGATCAGTACCTGCAGAGGTGATCAGCTGATGGTGTGACCTCTTTCAGGGTTTGCATATAGGTGAGAATGTTGCTCTCCAGTTGGCTTGAAAGAAACTGCAACTTTCTCATGAAAGCCTTCACCAGGCTGTGCATTTCATGAACGAAACGGCCCTTGCCTTGCAGGTGGTGTTTCTGGTGTTTTGTTCATTCATCAGTGCAGTCACATCAACAGCAAATGCTAAATCTACCATCCAGTCCTCATCTGAGAGCTGTGGGATGTCTTTGCCTTTCTTCTCACAAAACTCTCGGATCTCTGCTTTCAGGTCCCAAACTCTTTTTAGCATTATGCCCATGCTGAGCCATCTGACAGCTGTGTGGTAGCTGATGTCACTATGTTTAGTCTCATGCTCCTCCAAAAGGGCAACAAACTGTCTGTGATTCAGTGCTCGCGCCCTGTTGAAGTTAACTGTTTTAGTTACAACATCAGTGACATGGTAAATTCCAACATTTTTCCCTGTCAGGTCTGGACAGCCGTCTGTGGTGACTCCTGCCAGCCTGTCCCAAAAAAACCTGCATTCGGCATCTACCTTTCTTTTTTTAGTATGAGCGAATGCTGTGATGAAGCCTAAAATCGCCTTGTGACCTGCTGGTGTAGATTCAATCATGTGCACGTTTGATTTATGCATTCCGTCATTATCCATCCATCCATT